ATTATAGTGACTTTTTGATCAATATATTTCTACTGATCAGATGATACTGCAATGACATATGTTTGCATTCATTTGTCATTATTACTGCAGACATATTTACTGATAAAAACTTTCTTTAAATCCAGATATTGTATAAAAGAAAAACAATCCATTCAGTTCAAGTTACATTATACTGTATTAAATATGGATTTAAAGAAATAAAAAGCAGATGCATTTTATCATGCAGAGATGAGGAGCGTTACAATTATTTTAGTTTGAAATGAAGCTGTTGTTAAAATATTTTTCTTATCATTTGAAGGGTTGATATTTCTTTATTATTAACCCTGTTGGGTTCCTTTACACTGTGACTTTGTTTACCTTGACCTCTGCATGCTTGGTCCCCTTACTGCAGTCCCACACTGACATCATGTGTTCATTAGAGTCGTCAATCACACACAGGAACGCTCCGGAGTCCTAAACACAACACCAACACAAAATCACATTGTCAACTTAGTATAATGTTAAGTTCCACAGCACTAATTCAATCCATTATGTTCACTATTACTCTGCTATTCTTTTGCCTAAAATATAAAACTCAACACTTCCAACAGGATAATAAAGGCTGCTCAGGAAGTGTTACGTTTCACTGCAATCAAGAAATGGCTAATTGGAAGTGACTAGAGAAAATGATTAAATGGAAAAATAAATCCCTCTTTGCTGCTGATAAGGTCAGGGCTGTGGAAATAACCATCAAACCGAACTGAACATGACAGATAATGGTGTTCCACTGGCTGGAGGACAGGGGGGACATCAGCCCTGTCCTAAATAAAGGCCTGGGCTGCGGTCCAATAGTCCATTTAGCTTAGGAACCTTCCTAACGGAGTGAAATGACCTGGAAGTCCCTCAGTGGCAGCCATGATAAGTGCCGTTCCAATTCTCTAGATGAAAGGAAAGGAGGTTTCAAACTTCCTTTATAACCTCCTTTAGCTTACGAACCACTGGACCTCCCTTTACGAATGCAGAGGAGAAAATGCTGCCCCACAATGCCTTGCAGCCGCAGCATTTGCCGTCACACATCAGTCGGCCGTTCACGGAAACAACCGATTATGACGGAGAAATGATATCATGAAAGTTACGGTGCTTATTAAGCATTTTAAAACGTATGTGGTAAGTTGCCAAAGTGCTTTGTTTTGAACGATCATCAGTATTATAATCAAAAAGAGAAATATGAACGTTAGTTTTGACTGAAATGATCAAATAAAGTCAACATTTCACAGTCTTTACTGAGCTGTGTGGAGTTTGTTCAACTTTTAAAAGATGTTTGAATGGTGATATACACAGTGATAGATGTTAAGGACTAATGTTTATAATAAATACATTTGTATTGATTTGAAGATCTTTTCATACAATAATACGTATTGGGATCATTTGTATTAATGTGGACCGGAGGGAGAGGGTGACGAGCTTAAGTTTCACTTTCCTTTTTTATTTCAATTCCAACTTTGGTCATGAAGAATATGTTTCTCTGTTGTCCACGTTCATAAAGCATAAAACAACAGCATCAGAGCACGCTGCAGAGTCTCTAGATGAGTTTACAGTAGTCCCTCGTTCTTATTAAACATCCATGTTGTAGTCCGCTGTATAGAAAACTGTAGTTTCCATAGTTTCCCCACAGCAGCAGGCGCACATTTATGACGTCCGCTGGCGCATCATAAACACGTCGGATAGTGAAAGTGCAGTCGGATTCTCTAAAGTACCGCAGTCTCTTCTCCTAAATCCTTTTGAATTCTCCTATCCACTATCCCTTAACCCCGTGACCTTTCACTCAGAGGTCAAGGAATAGACGATAGGGTTAGAACTTAGGAGCTGATTTTTGGACTATTGGACCGCAACCCTGGTCCTGGCTGCAGTTGAGGTAAATCCTTTATAAAGTATAATTGAGGATGTACAGTGAGTGTTTTATATTGCAATCAACTCACAGCAAAGGAAAATGCCACGGATCCCACCCCCCTCTGGAAGGTCCCCAGGCCGATCTGCTGCAGGGTGTCCAGGGTGGTGGAGTTCCAGATATAAACACAGGGCTGCAGGGGCTGACACACACACACACACACACACACACACACACACACACACACACACACACACACACACACACACACAAAAACACACAAAAACACACCACACAAAAACACACATAAACACTTTAGTTCCATTGATCTTCAACAAATAGTTGTAGCTATCATTTGCTAATATTATGAGCCAAAATATAATACTGACTGGTTGTATGCAGTCGTAAAAACATGGAGCAGGGTAAGGGTTGTTACCAGTGGTGGAATGTAACTAAGTATGTTTAACTTAGGTAACATTTTGAGGTATTTTGACCGCAATTCTTTACTTTTTACTCCACTACATTCATTTTACAAATGTAGTGACTAGCTAATTGGCAGGTATGGATTTATAATACAGAATGTGAATCTACTAATAAATCATTATGTATTTTATAGGTTAAGCTACCCAGCAGTATATCAAGTCATTTATATTTTCAAAGATATGGTTCAATGAAGTCTCTTTAGTAGTAAAAGATGTGAATATAGTGCATATCGTCAATCAATGCTCATCAGACTGGTATCCCTATCAGAAGTCACCTTGCCGTCTTTATCCACCCCCGCTGTCTGTCCAGACGCCACACGGACCTTGTCAGGGTGGAGGGTAAGACTGCAAGAAGAACAAGAAATGATTTAACTACATAACAAAAATAAGTTGTACATGGCTCTAAGATAAAACCCTATTCAAGTATATGAATAGGGAAACAACATTTTTGTATCTCTGTTTTGGTCTCCACCAACTCCTAAACAATGGTATGTCACTTTAGCTTCTAAATGCTTCTCTGGGTACACCTTGTGTTTGTCTGTCTGAATCTTCATTTTGCTTAAATGGGTTCGATGTTGTGTTGAGAGATAGCTGTTTCTACCAATTGGGGAACCAATCAGAGCTTTGAAGGCGGGATTAAGAGTGGGGAAGAAATTGTCTTTCAAGCTATCTTCTTAAAGGTGGGGTAGGTAAGTTTGAGAAACCGGCTCGAGATCGCTAGAATTTGAAAATACATAACCGGAGAAAATCTGCCACTTCCTTATAGAGCCCCTCCTCCAACACACACGAACGCGCACATGACCAATGAGGGCACGAGATAAGTTTGTGCCCCGATGGAAGGCTGACAGGCAGGTAGGCCATCCAGTTATTTTAGCCGGGCCGGCTAAAATGATTGGTCGTGCTTTTTACAGTATTACGGCTTCCACAGATGACATTTTTTTATGGATTTTTTGTCAAAGCACTTAAGATATTCATTGCTATCGAGATGTTAAGAGCATTCCATGGAATATAACAAAAAGTGTATCTCGAGCCGGTTTCTCAAACTTACCTACCCCACCTTTAATAAATCAATATCAAATATTGAGAGAAAAAGTGCTTCTGTAGCTGTACAAGGTGTTTTAAGTCAATCAACCAAAATAACAACTATTAAATGTACATATTTTTCTATATTCAAGAAAATCGAGCTTCTAGCAACTGCTAAAATGGTTTGTAAATGACATTGATGGAATGGAGACAACTGGAATAAACACAAAGTAAGACAAAAAAAAAAGGATACAAAAAGAAAAAAAGTCATACTAACATAATAAGCTACCCCCCAAATGCCCTTACAGCTGAAAGTCAGTACTTGTACCTTATAGTCATGGTCTCATTCCAAATCACATGTGATTGAGTGGACCATTAAAGCCATATATAGAGTGTTCCTTACTTTATTGGCTTCCCTGCAGGAACAGTTCAACTGTGGTTTGCCCCAAAGCCTTTAAGTGCCACTTGGAAACCATTATTTCAGGAATATACATATTTGGCCTTAATATTTCAATTGGGGCAAATAAATATATGTGTTATTTCACACAACACCCCATTGCTTTTATTTACTGCAAAAAGGCACACTAGTAAGGTGCCCAAGCCAGAGATTGGATTTCATTTCCCTGTTTTTTTTTTACGTTGGTGAAAAAAACACATTTTATCCGCACTAGTAATATTTGGCATATTTAGTTCATGAATTTGTCCAAAACACTCATACTGTCAAAAGTGAAAATAAGCAAACCTCTACTGTATATAAAGATTGTTGTTGGTCTGAGTTCAATTGAGAAACTTCAAAATGTGGTTATTTCACCGAGTATGTGTGTGGCAATGTCTTGAATCCCCCAAATAAGCCTCATTATTTGGCTAGGTTGGTTCGTATATGCATGGCTTTATGTTGAGAGCCTGGCAGTTTGGGATTGGGATTTAGGGGGATTTTCTCGGGAAACAGTCATTTACTCGTTTTATTTTCATGATGCCAGACATTAAGCAGTAGGAAAGTCCCCTGGATCTGAGCCCTAATACGAACTTTTTTCTCAGCTGTTTTTTATACAGTTTTTATCTCAAAGAGGTTTAGAGACATGTGGTGACATGCCAGCGTGCTGATCATCTCCCAAGTCTTTAGTACACAGTAAATACTGCACCCTCCACAGCCTCCAGCAGCTATAAAGACCTGAGTTCATCATTAGGTGAAGCAGAAACAATGTTATTCTCTTTTGAACTGCTCTGTTGGTTACCAGTATGTAGATCTGCCTTACCAGGGTTATATGGACTTTATAATGTTGTGTTGCAGTGGGCTTCAATCATTTGAATACCTTTTAATAGATCTTTCTGCCTGTTCAACTTGAAGAGAATAGGTTTATGGCCAATTCCCTACTAATCTGAGGCCTAGTCCCAACATATATGGGTCATTTTTTAAAGGTAGCTTTTTCTACTCCTCCTCTATATCAATGAACAGATATAAAACTGAACTATGTCAATGCCTAATTATCCAACACAAAGTCCCCTATGAGACCACTATGTGTGTGTGCACTTCCCAATCTGCTCAGTGGCCTTATATTATTCAGATATTTGAAGATTATTGTGAGTTAAAATGATTTTAATGCCAAACCATATTTCTAAGTGAAATAATAATCTATTTTAAGTTAAAACATGGTCAACCTTGTTTTGAATGTTTTTGATTTGTAGTATTTTGAGATTAGCAGAAATATATATAAAGTCATGGGTTGAATAATCTGAGGGCCAGATTTATGCTTGACTGGGGTTTTAGGGATAACAATAACACTCATTTTATTCAAGAAATGTAATACTAACCCTGGATCTATAAAATTAGCCTTTTTAAGCCTGAAAGCAGAGTCTGCTCTGATTGGTTAACCGGCCGGCTCTGTTGTGATTGGTCAACCGCTTAGAGATGTCGGAAATGTCCTGCCCTTAGCCTATCACGTACAATGTGTTAGAGCACTAGCCAATAGAAGCGCAAGTGTTACATAATGATGTCACTATGTAACGTCATGGATGGAACACAGGGATTTTAGACACCTATATAACACACTACAGGAAAGGGGAATCCCAAAAAGCATGATAGGGTCCTTTAATACATTTGGAAGAACTTGTTTACAGAAGTTTTGAGTAATTTCTCAAATAGGCAACATCTGACCTTTTACGCTCTTTAGGCCATGTGATGCTTAAAACATGTTCTCCAGCTCTTTAAGTGAGTTTGATTTCATTGTGTGTGTAGATGCAGATGAAATGAATTGTGTCCCACTGACCAGCGGACGCAGTCTGTGTGATTAGTGTAGTGGCGTTGTGTGCGGTTCTTGATGTGGTAGAGCACAACAACACAGGCGATGAAGTACACTGCCTCGCCCGTCGGGAGGAAGTACAGGTTGGCACGGCAGTCCCGACCACGGTAGCCATAGCTGGCAGGAAACGGTCAAGGTCACATTCAGGTTAATCATTGGTCCATTTCATCTAATAAAATAACAGTTCACCACACAAAGAAAGTGCGTCATTATCAAGTAATCTCCATGTTTCCATACATGTCTTTCTAAACATATGTCACCCACAGCTCACAGTTAATATGTGGTTGATGCTGCTCTCACAGACTATTAAAGAGATACTTTCCATTACGAACAACGTGGCTTGAATCCAGGAAATGAGCGCACAGTGAAATAGGCACTGTCTGAATTTAACATATCCCTCATAAATATGGAGGCAGCACACTGCTGCTGTGGTACTGTGGAAGGATACACCCAGTCCAGCTCCAGCCTCTCAGAGGGCGGCTCCATCTTCAGGTCTTCATAGTTCAGGATGTTGGAGGGGATGTACATGGTTATGGGCCGGCCCCGGATGAACATTTTGATCGACTGTTCTGGAGGACAAACACACCAGGAGACATTTCAATTCAGCCGTTTTAAATATACAGAAAAAAATATAGAAAAAATGTAAAGAATAATAAATAAATGAGAGAAACGAAAGAGATAGAACAACAAGCTGTTGATGAAAACAACGGGTGTCATCACATGACATTGCATTCCCACTTTGCAAAACAAACACAAAGCTGCATTATTGATTAGTAATGCCACTTGGGGGCAGCAGAATAGGCTGACAAAACAACATCTGAAATATATTTGATCATTTATTAGGTACACCTGGCTAAAAGTGGACGAAAAAAACCCGACATTAATAAGAATGATTATTTTATTGATAGAGAGGTAATGATTAAAGTTTAAGTTTGTGGTGCTGTTCAGTTGGAAAAGTTGTATTGTATGAGTTATTATTTTTTAATGATGTTATTAAATTGTTGAGGTATAACAGAGTTCTGTTGTTATATGAGTCATACTGGAGGTGGGCTTTGGCCAGTGAACAAACAGCGAAGGGGAAAAGAACAGCATGTTCGGTTGACCTTTAAGGTATAAAAACTGCTTAAACACAAAGTGACATCACACAGGTCTACCTTGGTTGTAGGTTCCTCTTCTGGACCCGGGGGAGGATCCTGTGAGAGAGGGAAGGCATGAGGTTAGCCATACAAATAAACCCCATGATCCTCTCTGCTTTAAGACACAGCTGATTCCAGCCACAGCTGACCTAATGTTTTCTTTACGATCCCTAAGGATCTATTCCCTTTTCTTTTTACACGTAAGATCTATGAGCTTTGGATTTCATGCAGGATTATATTTTCCTTTTCCATTTATTTTTTGGACTTCCAACCTGGCTCTGTTCCCTAGGAAACAGTTGTGTTATTTTATGAGACTGGGGGGTGAAGGCGAGCAGCAAGGCTGAGCAGACTGAATGTGAGCCCTCAGACTCCGAGGGTCTTCAAATATCTGTCTGACCATAAAATGGTGGTAACTGGTAAAAGGCCAAAGAGACACCTTGAGAAGAGACTTACCTTAAGGGACCTCGTTCTCACGTCAACAGAAGTCAAAGAGGAAACAGGAAGAAATAAATCAGAGCTGCAGGACAAGTAGAAAAACTGGTTCCTGCAGCAACCGACAATTCAGTCAAAGAAACATAAAGGCAGCATCTTTGCATATTCAGGCATATTTAGGGTTTAAAAAGAAACACAGCCCTTAACCCTTAGAATATTCCCCCCTGCTCTCTAATTATTTATTTCATTGACTATATTGGCCGTAATTCAGCCTTGTAAAAATGGTCATCAACGCTCTCTAAGTACAGATCACCTGAAAGTAAAGACACAAGTCCTTGATCAGGGAATATAAGCAGTAATTCAAGAAACAGAGCTAACAGGTTAACTAAAACAAATATATATCATTATTTGAGTTTTTCGTTCAATGAATGCAACAAAGATAACAACAAAAACAAAAAAGCACACAGTGGCTTCTATCCCATGTAGCACTGGATTACTCTGTACTGTAACCTAAACAACACTTTTTCCGTGCCATACTTTGATAATAACACATTTTATTTTATTTTAAACGAAATTCTCAAATGTTAAAAGCTTTGAAAGTTGAACATTTGAATTAATAAAACTGTTTTTAAAGGGAGCTTTCCATGGCAGGCACTGTAAACTGAACGCCATTCTGTGTAGCTTATTTAAGTGGGACGCTTTTTTCGACAAAGACTGTGCTATCAGACATTTAGTTTGTATTCTAATCGGAAAGTAAAAAGGTGGTTAGCCTAGCTTGCTAATCCTGAGTTATCAGTAACTCCTTGCTAGTCAAAACAACAACCTGACCTACAGAAATGGGTGGTTCTGTGACTTTAGCACTGCCTCCAATCCTATCCCAGAATAACATTCATTAGGAGTCATTAGGAAGTATCTTAGGTGAGGCTAAAACTATGAGTACAAAGCCAGCCAAAGCTTGTGAAGCTGTTATCATTTAGGTGATGGTGGTATTGGAACATTCTTTAGTGTCTTCCCACAAAAAAACAGAACCAACACTGTCAGTCGTAAACAAAAAGGTAACAACAATATAGTTAGGCAACAATAGTAAACTTCTTCTTAGCTTAACTTAAAGGATGATCTGCTATTATTTGCCTTGATAAAATACATTCTAAATGAACTGTTAAATTGATAAAGATATCTGACTAGGTAGTCAGCTTTAATTGAGAGTTTTTAATAAATCGGTGTTACGGAAAAATGTTGGTCGGTCCCAAAACAGCATTTAAAAATAGTGTTCCAGAAACATTTGTCTTATGTGTGTCCCCATACTTCCTGCCACCTTACTGTCAAGAATCGAGAAAGCTACACTCATGCCAAGCACGACTATTAGTCAATCAGAAAGAGTTATGAAGACATCTTGACACAAAGAGCAGGCGAAGACTTAAAAAATGTTCTTTTGGCAAGCTCCTCAGCAGGGTCATTTATCATCCCGTCAGGCGCGTTGGAGCTAACCACAGTGGATGTGATTCCAGGCAGCGCCCACGGCCCAAACTGGCCCGCAGTGTTTGGCTTCACAAGAACTCATAAAAAATGGGATGCCAGTTTTAAAAAAGGAGTGGGAAATGTCGTGTTGAGTGATATTTCTGGTGTCAACAGGGTATGCAGCTAGCTTTCAGCTGGATGTAAAGCTCTGTTTAGATAACTGTTTTGTTCACAAGTATTTAGGCAGGGACCAGTTCCCCACTATACCTGGCATTATTAGTAGTAACTACTAAACCTCACACTTTATTTGAAGACCATAAACAAACAAAGCACAAGTGTACTAAATATTTCTTAAACTACAGTATGATGCCATGCTTTCACAATCTCTAAAAACAACCCATTAGCACTTATTTAAAGTTAGGCTTTTTAACTATTGAAGGACAAAACTAACAAGTTCTTTCTTTGACAAATACTTAATCTTATCCATAATTAATGCAAAACATTCTTACTTGATTCAATCCAGTCAGGGTTTTTACTGCAACAGCTTGATTTAGTCTGGTATGACCTGTAGCTTATGGGGGCTAATGTTAGCAAACATTAGGGAGACCTAACATAACAGACACGACTGACTTAGTAAAACAATTGTAGTTATTTAGGAAGGTATTTCAGAGAATATTCTCACAGTAATGTAACCCTTAAGCAACTATTATTTCTGAAAAGATTTTGAATGCGATAAAGCATACTGCGTTACCTTAAAATAACCTAGCTTAGCAAATAGAGCAAAGCATGGGGACATCCCTATCAAATATTTATAATAGTCTTACAATTAAATTAATAACAATTATATATCTCACTTTTCTAAGCAACATGCAACATGTTGGATAATTGGCTCATACATTAAATGTTTTTGCATATTGCATTTTCCCCCTCATTTAAAGTGTTGTTTCAAATGAACAGTAACAGCCCTATTTTGCACTAGTCAACCAGCAGTGAGTATAGTCCTGTGGTTGCTCAGACCACGTTTTCAACATCAAAGAAAAAGGATTAAAGTCAACTTGGAACATCTTGTACAGCTGTGTCATCTCATCCAGGCCTGCTGCCAGCATTCTACACTGGCTTCAACAAACACAATTCTTCTACTCCTTGACGTTCACAAACAACATGAGGGAGTGAGAGACACATTCTGGTATTCTGGATTGTAGGAGGCCTAAAAACAGGCCGTACCATAACCAGAATAAAGGCCAACACTCTAAAAGCTTGGTAACCACAACTGTGGTTGGTTGGGAAATGCGCTCATTTTTGGACAAATGACTACATGTGTGAACCAGTGAGGAGCTGCATGGGCACAAGTTCAGAAGTAAATTCAACTCTGAAGTTACAAAAACTTGGAAACGGTCCCTGATTCTAACAATCTTTGTAGCATGTCTATATTTGTTCCTCTTATAATCCTACTTCTGTTTCACTCAAGAAGCCTTTCTTTGGAAAAACATGTCTTGCATTTCACTCCAGATAAAGGTCACCTGTCAATCAACAAAGGGCCCGGTTTTCATGCAATCATACAGCTGACGTGTAATGCCTGACAGGCAGCATACTGGGGAAAAGTGCCAAAAACATTTAGCATCAGCAGGCTCAGGGGTGTTACTATAGTTACAGTACCCTAAACCCTTTCCTGATATGAATGATGATTGATATGGAATGAAAGGAAACCTGGTTTTGTTTACATATCTCTGGTAGTATCTAGTTTTCTGAATGTCTGTGTGCAGGTGCGTCTTTGTCTGCTTCAAGTCTTCCAGTAATGAAAGATAATTGCAGAATGTGGATCATTCTTATGTTGTGAAGCATTGTATTCTTTGTTTCTCTGACTACATTACAGGAGAGTCCAGGTTTCTGGAAACAGGATATGATGCTAACGTGCAAACAAATAACTAGGGCACGGCAAAAACCTCATCCTGACTGGGAAACACACTCATTATGGTTTGTTACATTATCATATGAATTACTGCACAACCAGAGGCAATGCAGGATGGGTTTGATATGCAAGACCTTGATTATTAGCATGTGTGCGCATACAACGCTGCAAAACAACTAAAGCGTTTTGCCTAGTTGTAATGAACTGAAAGACAGTTGGCTAAGACTGTTGGTCTGTCGGAGGCAAAATCAGATTCCTAGTTCTATTCTTCTTCACAGTGATGTCTCATGAATGCCAACGTGGAGAGGGATGTCTTATTGGTTGGAATACATTCTAAAACTAACCAATTGTGAGTCCAGAAAAGCATAATGCCTCGACCATGGCTGTCACCAGCGCAGAGACATATAGCAGCTATTGATTACTGACCCAGCAAACCACAAGGGCCAAAACATTTCTTGACCCATCTACAGGTTGAACTGTTTAGGATTCTGCATACAAACCATGTGTATATGGCAAATGTACTTCCTTCATCATTTGGATAAAGTTGTGAACACATTATTGGGATCTCAGTTTCAGGATTAAAGAAAGAAAAGCTACATCACCTGTACTGGCGACCATCTCCTTCGCGCGACTGTGGAGACAGAAAGAGACAGAAAGAGACTGTGTGAGACAGCTGTGTGACACCATTCGGTCCCTCGCTAATCACTTCAAGGTTTTCATGCGAATGGAATGCGATTATTATTATTATTCATAGGGGCCATCAGTGTTCCAGAGAGTGTCTCTTAGATGAGATATGTGAGGCTGCAGCAGCAATAGGAAAAAGTGAGCTTTGTGAGTGCGTGGTGACAGCTGTGAGTGATGGCAGCGTGGCTTACTTCTCCAGGCTGGAGGAGCGGATGAGGAGGTTTGCAGAGGACGCTGCCTTCTTGTCCAGACGTTTCCTCTGCTTCTCCGGGTTTACCAGTTTTTCGCTGTTCCTACGAACCCTGAAACACCAAAGGACTGAAATCAGCTTCAAACTCTGTGTCCAAATACAATCCATAGATCCCACACAGATGCATTCAGTTAGCCCGCTGTTAATGCATGCACAATGGAAGGAGGATTTGCATGTATTTATAGTAATTATACACATAAACATGCATGTTAGTCTTGCAACGTTTGTCTCTGATTTCTTTTGCCAAACCTTCGAAAAGGATATACGTAGTTTAATAAAACTTGGGTCTTTTTTTGTTGTTGGCCACACTCACTATATAACTGACCCTTACTAAGCACAGCCCCCATTATGAGCTATTCTACACCTGTCAAGCTTTCCGGTATAGAACCGCCAATATGCAGTTTAGAATTACACTGCTTGGAGATTTACCATATTGATTTGTGGTTGTTGATTTCGGACAGATATACACAAAAGCAGCTCCTTATTTAAAGATGTCCACTGTGGTGTTTCTGGATATAAGGACTGTTGATGGTCACTGATCAGCTGTGGCTAGCTAGCCTATTAACATTACTCTGGAAGTTAAGTCAAACAGGACCAAGGCAAAAAGTTAGCTTGGCAAGCTAATCAGATCTCAATCCTTCACCAAGTTAAACTCCCCCAGATCCACTACAGAGCAGCTAACGTACACTGTCAAATAGCATCCAGGACTAGTGTTACATTGACTTCCACTAGTTCTTCCAGTTCTTAACAGGGCTGCACCTACAACATGTAGTTAGCTAATGATATGCTAACCCTTGGCCTTGGAAATATGCGAAGGATTCTACTGTAGATAGTAAGCTAGTACTAACATCTTAGAATCGTACTTTAAAGCAGACCAACACAGGAGGAGTCAGACAGGTTGTGCCAACAGTTTATCCACAGGAGGAAGTAGGTTTGACAATTGAGATGGATGTTTATGAGAAGCAGTTTAGGAACTAACTTCTGTGTACCTTCCTCTTCCAAACCTATTTGGCTAACCTGGAGGTTTGTCAACAATCTCTGATCATGTTCCTCACCCTGTTGAACTCATTTTTTAGAAATGTTATTTTGTTCCCAGATCTCAGCAATGAACTTGGGATGACTAATAGAAGTGTGAAACCAAACCATGTATGTATTTAACTGGCAGTAGCCTTTAACCCCTGGACATCACTCTAAATCCTTTCTGTAACTTTTAGGAGAAAGGCTTGGTAAGGGTCTCAAACTGTATTGGGCCATTCTCATATTGTCTCTCTGGATTACCTGCAACATACCCCCTGTTTCCTGATGACATGCCATTGTAGCCGTAGCAACACCATGAGGAAGTGTTACTGGACAAAAAAAAGCTTTGGCATGAATCTACATCATTGGTTATGGATTGAGGAAGTGGAACTCATCTGGCAAACTACTTCTGCAAGCAAATCTTTACTAATCTTTAACAAAAAAGTGTTAAATATAGGTGTGGTAGCTGGGCACTGAAGCACAACTTTCCCAGTACCTCAGGTTTCCATTGAGGGGCATGACAGAGCTTAGCTGAGGAGGAAGAGCACATGTTACCCATCACCAATAAGCCCTTTTATAAGCCACAACAAGGAAGTAGGACAAAAGAACATGCACAAGCCCATACACTAGTAAACAATCATTATTAAAGCAGTCAGTTGAGTTGCAGTGGGGAACAAATCACAGCATGCAAGAGATCATTGATTTGTTTGAAGAAAACAATGTTAAAAGTGTAATTCAAACAGCAGAGCTTCATTAAACCAATCAAGATTTAAAGCAGCATGTGTGTTTCTGCAAAACCCAGTTGAACTCACAGATCCTTAGTGGCACTGAGTCAATTTGCACATCTGTATCGTCTTACAGAACAATCAACGTTTGTGGCTACAGTGAAGTTGTAACAGAGATGATCACTGGAGGTTTTTATTTATGGGTTCTTACTCTGATGTGTGCTGTTTGGACAGATATGCTATTTCAAACTATGTTCTGGCCTTGAGAGGTTACATATGTGCAGCCTTGCAAACCCACTGACCTTTCGTGTTCAGTCCAAGTGTATACATGCTCTGCTCCTAGTGTGTTTGTACATTATGCTCTGTTCAATTGCCCTCACATCACATTTTCCACTGGGCTCAAACGCTCTGTGTGCCGTGAAGCTAACCCTGGATATGTCACTCAGTGTGGACGAGGACCGCTATTATGTTCCGCTACGGCTTTATGTTTCCCCTCGCCCCCTGCTCAAACACATGGAGGAGAAAGCACATGGCTGGAGAGAACATGATGACGGAACATGTCACCCCCCCTTGGGTTCCCTGCACGGCATAATAACCCTAAGACTGGTGTTTTTTATAAGGTGGGTTCGCAGTGAAACTGGGGTTTGTAGTAACACAAGTCAGAATCAGGAAATGTTTGATTTGTCATCAGAACAGATACAGAGAATCCTTCCTGCCCACTGCAATAACTCTCTACACCTCGACTCCATAGCTTGGTAGTGTCTCCTTTTCTATAACCCAGAACAATTCGCACAACAGCTACTTTGCACAATTGTAATGTTTATATAATCCAATGCCAATATGCGTCTGTAGTATATTTCTAGATATTTATGTAGCTTAGCGAGATTGTATATATTGTATAAAGTATAATTTCCCAGTTTGGGATGATTAAAGTATCTACATTGAAAAAACTGAAACATTTATTTAATTAAATGTATGTCAACAAATGTCACATAACTGTATTAGGTTTGTTGAAAGCAATAATATGAAGTTGAACCCAATCTTTTTGTATTTAAACTTAATATTATGACTTTCAACTAACCTGATACAGTTATGGGAAATGTGTTGACCTAAAACATTAAATTAAAGTAAACGGTTCAGTTTTTTCGGAGTATCTATCCAGCCATCCATCCATCCACCTACGTACCTTTCTATCTATCTATCTATCTATCTATCCATGTATCTATCTATCTATCTATCTATCTGTCTGTCTGTGTGTCTGTGTGTCTGTGTGTCTGTCTGTCTGTCTGTCTGTCTGTCTGTCTGTCTGTCTGTCTGTCTGTCTGTCTGTCTGTCTGTCTGTCTCTATCTATCTATCTATCTATCTATCTATCTATCTATCTATCTATCTATCTATCTATCTATCTATCTATCTATCTATCTATCTGTCTGTCTGTCTGTCTGTCTATCTATCTATCTATCTATCTATCTATCTATCTATCTATCTATCTGTCTGTCTGTCTGTCTATCTATCTATCTATCTATCTATCTATCTATTTATCTATCTATCTATCTATCTATGTAAAAGCCATGCAATAAAACGAGAGAGATAGAGAGGTTTGATTATGAAGTGAGGGGGAGGAAGGCGAGATCACGCACAGCTTTTTCTTCTCTCCTTCGTGGATGGGGGTGAGGGGGGCTGAGCGGGGGGCGCTGAGGTTCTGCTCTGAGGTTCTGAGCGACCCTGAGGGAGAGCCTAGCTCCTCTGGAGAGCAGCTTCCATCCTGGAAGTCGTCCCTCTGCAGGCCTCTGATGGTGGTGGGCTGGATGGGCTCCTCCACTGACGACGTCCAACTCAGCTCCCCTCCTTCTTCATCTTCCTCCTGCTCTTCATCCTCCTCTTCCAAGCCGGGGACCCGGTGGAGCTTGGCCCGCGTCCCCTCCACCGCAGGCTGCCCTGAAGGTAGGGCGTCCTCCAGCTGCAGGCTCTGGACTCGCCTGTGGAGAGGGACCCTGTCCTGCCAAGTGTCCTGCCCAGGGAGGGGGGGCTCTGTCTGGGTCCACCTGTCCAGTGTGGCTGCTCTGGGTCTTTGCTTCAGGGACACTGGGCTTCCTATGTGGCCGTTGGCTTTGGTCACAACGCTGTCTGACAGCTCGCTAGATATAGTTAAAAATAGGGATGGGTATCGTTAACATTTTACCGGTATTACTACCTTTACTGATACTGTTTATCGATCCGGTATTTTAACAGTATTTCTATCGGTTATTTTTGTTATTTTTTGAGGGAAATACTAATTGGAAACAGAAATAACATTGCTTTATTTTATGTAAATAAATAAAAAAAGCGTTATTTACAGTAAATCCTTTTTTGTAATAAATCATTATAGACTAATGTGATGATGTTCATGTGAAACAAATTATATAAAGAATGATTTAGTGCAAAAGAAAAAATGGTTACCCTTATTCATTTACCCATGTTTGTATAATTGAGTTAACTCTGTGTGAGGGCTCTAGGCTGCTACATAACATACCAGACGTGCTTACGTTGCTTGTAACTGGGGCAACAGAGATACGAGAAAAGCAGTCGCAAACGTTTCATTTGTCCGTCTGAATATGGAGCACGAAGGCCAGATATTTGGACAGATTGCTCGGGTTTCCGCCCTTACACGAAAACACTTAATGTGGCAAACGAGCATTGTCCACATCAAAAACTTTTATGTAGCAATTATAAATATAAAATATATCATATATTTCTTTTATTTATCCAGTACTGATAGGAAAACCGATAACGTCTGAGCTTATAGATACCACGGTCTTTCAAAAGGCCCGTTTAACATCGGGTTTCGGTACCCATCCCTAGATCAAAAAAAGTCGAAGTCAAAACAGAAGAGTCATACAATCTACACAACTATGGAGGTAGATTTGTCTCCATTTGATTTGTGTGAATAAAAGTGAGTAAATGTGTAATGTGTAAATATAAAACACCTTCCACAAATACAAATAAAATGTGTGAATACTATAATGCATTTACATCTTCCTAACATTTACAACTTTCCACCGGTAGACACACACGGAGATATGAGACAAACCTTCCATCTACTTTGTTCGGGTGATGACGTGGTTTGCAAAATGTTTTGTATTCGTGGAAGGGTTTTCACATAATAAATAACACACAGATTATTTATCTGTTCACACAAATAATATTGAGACAAATCTACCTCCATACACAACATATGAACACAACCAAGATTTAAAAAGGATTATTAATGGCAGTACAATAGGTGAAATAAAAACAATGATGGCTTCTCATCAGCTCTGCCTCTGTGTGTAGGTCCAGTACCTGGTCGCAGGGTGTGGGGTCACGTCATAGGCTGAGCTGGAGGACAGCTTCCTGCTGCCGGGGGAACCGTCTGAGCAGCACACCTGGTTCAGCACTCGAGCAGAAGCTGGGTTCACTGGTTTGAAATGAAACCATTTGATGCATTTTTGTTATTTTTGAGTGGGCCAAAATAACAAAATATACTATAATAAGTCAACTGCCTGTCATAGATTTTTCTACACTGTTTTTAATGTGAGTACTAATTAGGGAATGTTTGGGTTATCTTGCAAATAAATGACAAGGACTACTTGCTTTGACTTATGGTACAATATGTCTACATCAATATTATATAGTATGTTATGAATTAAACAAAAAGGTTTCCAACTTCTTATTTTATTTTAAAATGTTCTCAAGTAAAATTGCAAACATTTTTAACTACACCACCACGTAATATCCTCACCATCGTAGTGGTTTAAACAAGTTGGCCTTGTTAATAATAATTATATCAATAATAATTATTATTATATTGGTTATTCAATATTGTTCCTGTATTTTTGGAAGCTTGCATTACTGTTCATACAGTTGTATGTGTATTTAATAACTAGCTAGGTAAAACATACAACCTTTGATGTGGCTCCACTTTTAGAATCAGACTGAGCACGTACAAGGCAACAAAAACTAAATCCTTTTAGGTTTCTTTGTTGGCAAACAGGTTAAAACATTGGGACATGCTCTCACTCACCTGCAATGAGCTGCTGTTTCAGTAATGGTAAAAGCTGGTCATGGAGGCGGATCCTGCGCAGGGCATCAGCCAATGAGGACTTCAGCAGCGTGATCTCATCCTCCTGCGCCTGCAGACGCACCTCCATCACGGAAGCTCGGTCTGGGAACTCAGCGCTGCCGTCTGCTGACGCATCGTCTGCGACGAGACAAGAGGGGTATCATGAAGGATGATTATGAAACGCCTGGCTCAAATGTGCCAAAGAAAATCAGGAGTATTTCATCAGAAGCATTTAAGCCTTGCTACAATATTACAAATGTTTGTTCTTGATTTTAAAACATAGATCTGTGACAAGAATTCACAATAAATGAAAAAGCTGATAAACAATAGCCACAGAGCAACTCACTTTAAACATAAATTATGTAGAATCAAATATCAAATTGAAAACCAACAAACCCAATGCCATAAAAAATCAGAGACAAACACAAGTATAGTTCAGATTGAATGCTCTGCTCATTTTCATTTAGCGTTGTGTTTCTAATTATATTAGGCTTAAATCATTCAAGTGAATTCAATGTTAAGTGTCTTAGGGCTGTATAAAACACAACATGGGAAACAACATTGAATATCATTCTTAGTTTTCTCTTAAGATGGATGAAAGTGTGACGTCAATTCAATTTAGCTGACTCTTAAGGACATCAAAAACCTTTCTAATACGTGCTAACCTTTGCAAACTGAAGATTTGTTCCATTACTCTCTGCCTTTTATTTGACGTTTAAGAAGTTGTGCCAACCAAACTGATGGAAACACAATTACAATGTATTTTTTCCTATATATTCAAAAGGACTGTGTCAAATTCACCTGACATCTGGACGGAAAAAGAAAAGCAAACAGGACCTGACTACATTCAAACAAGCCTTTCAAGTGTCATTCCTGTGTGTGTGTTGGCTTGTATTTCAAACTTTCGGAGAACCAATTTAAAAATGTATATATTTAGGTGTCGTCATGGCTTAATTCTGAGGACATTTCTGCATTTTAAGGACATTTTAGCAGGTCTTCAGTACTACAATGGACTGTTCGAAGGTTAGATTTGGTTTTGGAGGTAAGGTTACTGTTATACTTAGGTCTAGGTTAGGGTTAGGATTAGACATTTAGTTGCCATGGTTAGGGTGAGAAAAGGCATGTTGTCAGAACATTCTCAAAAGTATAAGACGACAAACTTGTGTGTTCTCTTGCTGTCCATGGAAAGTGAATTACAGCTGCTTAGGGCATTATGTACACCAGAGGAGTGACCAGAGCATCTCAAAGACCCTTTTGTGTCTGTGTGTGTGTGGTGTGTGTGTGTGTGTGTGTGTGTGTGTGTGTGTGTGCGTGTGTGTGTGTGTGTGTGTGTGTGTGCATACGAGGGCTGCTTCTGGTCCAAAAAGTGTGTGTATGGCTGAGTTTGTGGAATGCCTCCTTCTGTTCTTGTGTCACAGGATGGAAGAAAGCTGTGCATAGAGACCGCGAGAATATTATTATCCCATTGAAATCCACTGTGTTGTGAGTTCTCATGATTACTCATCCAATCAAAATGGCTTTGGCATTTTAAGGTTTATTTTGCAATGCAGTCCAACAAAGCACAAACTGTAATTGACGGAGGAATTCTAAGGAACGGTTTTCTCACTGGGTAATAAGTAGGTAAGAGGTCCTCAGACACCAATCTTTACAATTCTGTCCACTTCATTTGAGCAAAGACTACCAGCTGGGAACCTGGAATTACACATAGCCTGTAATTGTAGTCTAAAGCTCCATTTCCTCATGGGTTTAAAATCTCTATCTACACTATGCAATTGTATTTGCTCAAGACTTCCTTTATTTATCCAAGCTACAGAGAGAACAAGGCTTTTGCTTTTCCCCCCCGGTTTATAAATAGATTTATCAGAATGTGGTCAGAAGCCTCTCTTTTGGATCCCCCGCTCTTTTCTTTCTAATTGATGTTAATGCAACCTGAACACTTCCTCTATGCTAACCTGCTGTGTTGACAGAATGCATGAGTTATATCATATTGTCTGAGTTTCTCTTTTAAAAAGAAATCAAATTCACTCTTTCCTCTTGTCTGCGCAGAGGCTTCCAGGCTCAAAGGGGAAGTCCCTACATTCCCAATAGGCTTCTAATGTGAAACATCTGCTAATGTTTCCTTCTGATTGACTGTAGTGTAGTGATAACACTGCTCAAATGTAACATGCTAAAACAGACTTAATCAGCTAATCAGCTAAATCTATCTTGATAACATTAGCTTCACTTTGCCACTAACGAATAGCCAATGCTAAGGTTAGAAGCAAAGAGTATATTGAATTCTAACTTATGAGTTCATCTTGTATAAGTAAAACGGTGTCTTGTCTTCTTTCAAATGTAACATAGTATAGGTGAAAGGAATAATAGTTTCACATACAAATCCTAATTCTTATTTGAAGCTTCATTTTTGTATGGTGTTGTTAACATCCAATATGTGGGCTATTCATAAAAACAATAACAAAAGATGGCAAATTGTAGTTTCCAACTGTTGTTTAGCAATATTTTTAACGGTAGAGAAGTTATTCAACGTTTTTTTCATGGTCGTTTTTAACATATAGTTCAAAACAACTATTATCTAAGTCGAAGGGAATTGTGAAAATGGGGCCTAAAACTAGATAAAGGTCCATTTATGTCTGCTCCTGGCAAACAAGCACAACACTTGCGCATGGGCAAAGTTGGCAGATGTCATTACAAGAGACCTAATGAAACTCATCACTACATTACATGACATGTCACTTGTTAGACGCTTTTATCCAAAGCGACTTACATACATTCAGTACTGTGGCCAATCCCCACAGGAGCAATTTGGGGTGAAGTGTCTCAGGCACACAACGACATGCTGACTGCAGAGGGGTTTGAACTTGCTATCCCCTGATTCAAAGTTCAGCGCACTGAGCCACAGCCTCCCTCACTACCTTTTATTAGAATTACAGATTTCTCTAGGTTTTAAAAAAGATACAAATATTTTTAAGACATATTAGGTCGGAAATTGTACATATTAGTTGTTTAACTGCAGGTTGATGGAACAACATTGGTCGTTCATCTTAAATGAAGGCAAGAGTTTGGGCACAATTTGGGTTTATTAACATAAATTCGCTTTGCAAGTCTAAAGTGAAATATGTTCTTATAACTTCATCAGACTCAAGGTCAGGTTTCAAACACAGAGCATGGGGTGAACCCTAAAACTAGTGCCACCTTTTTATTTATTCAAACAACAATCAGTTTAGAATCAAGAATCCAAACTAAATCATGTCACCATAATTGCAATTGCAATCAAAATGAGAGATGTCTTAAAAATCTTGAAATGACTTAGACTCCAGACCAAACACATTTATTCAGTTCTTTTTTAGAGTTCAGACTGCCTGTTATAAACACACTCAAACTGTTAAACACAGAGTCCTGCGGCCTGACATCATTACTACACAGAGTCATGGCGGAAAATTCTAAACAAGGTTTATTCTGGTAACACAGAATAATGTTTCACTTAAGAGCACTTGAAGGTTTTATGAGATGGTCTAACCAGAAATGAGCTGACAAAAAATATAAGCATTTGGTGTGACTGCAACTGGACTTCATTGGAAATCAAAAAGCAGACACTGCCACAGAGAAACTGGGGAAGGAGACGACCACAACACCAATACAGGAGCGTTTGAAACCGTATCATTACATTGTGAAAGGTTTTCAAAACAGGACAGACGGGTGTATACCAGATTTGTCTTTCTCAGCTCTTGTAAGCTGATATCAAATGTTCAGATTTCCTAATGCTCTTATCATGATTACAGAAAAACGTGATCTGTGTGTAGGGTGCATTCATTCAATCTCTGTTGCTCACTGGAAGATATTATCAGCCTGTTTTTGACAAGAAGTACCTGATCTCCTTTTGTATTTTCACTGTGTCTCAACTTGTCTCTTCCATTGTCTCTCCATAGGATGTCAGCTAAAACTTCTGAGGAAAAAAGCTTGATGCTTTAAATGAACTCAACTGAACTTAGGTTGAATTCATTTGGTTTAAAAGGTTGCCTTTAAAGAGTCCTCTCCTGCTCATGTTCAGGTTCATATCAGTGTGTAGTGTCTCTCCTGGGACATGTCTCCATGCTTTAATGTTCAAAAAGCTCTTTCTTTGTTCTCATACTGCCTGTGCTGCAGCACCTCTTGTCACCCTCTGTCTGAAACCAGAGCCCAGTCTGCTCTGATTGGTTAGCTGGCCGGCTCTGTTGTGATTGGTCAAACACTAAGAGATGCGTTGGAAAAGTCCTGCCCCTTATCCCGAACAATGTTTTGGAAGGCTAGCCAATGGAAGTGCACGTGTTAAATAGTGATGTCACTATGTTTATTTAATTATTTGTTTATTCCACTCATGGCAATTAGTATATAACAAAACATGGACACGTAACACAATGTATGCAGCCCATGATGGAAAGGAGCAGGGAGAAGAACATCCTATTTTCCCTTCCCCTGAGTCAAAACATAAAATACAAATCTATGGTCTGTCAGAGTCACAGCTGCTTACAGCAACATGAAACCAAAACACAACTATCTACCTTCAGCAACACCGGTACCTGACATCTTAATACTGTCTCATTTGTATATTTGCTTTTTATAATTGTACTATTTTATATTTTTTATTTTTGGTAACGTCTTCTTATTGTGTCTCTGTATGCACCACTGATACCAAAGCAAATTCCTCGTATGTGTAGGTTGGTCAAAAAACCATTGATTTGATGGCTGTCACCACTGTGAGATGTCAGTGCCTCTACCAACTGAGCGTCATAAAAGCAGCCAGAGGCCCTGTTGATGTTTTGGCAAATCCGGATTATGATTCACTTTTAAAGTCATTGTCTTTTGGACTATCCATTTCACTGGAACAAGCATTTCGTCATCAGCGCCGTTGCAAAACGCCTGGAGCTGATTCAGCTCGGCTGCAGAGGAAATGTTCCTTTAACAGTTGATTACTGGTAAATGCTGCTCACTGTTTAGTCTGATTAGTACAATAAGTACAGAGTTCAACACGGCAGATTCCTATCAGCTGGATGTGCAGTATGAAAGCTGTTATCACGAGTCAAACAGGATGTATCTAGTGCTCTGTATACACTGCTGAGTGTCACAATTCTCAATTTCATTTGATCACAAGAGCCCTTATT